AGACAGAAACATCAATGATGAGAGAGTCATTGATTGGCTGCCCCCTGCACGCCCCTTACTAGGAAACGAACCTGCAACCCCAGCTTGTGCCCCGACCAGAAATCACCAGAGATATCCTGGATCACAGGTTGCCAGCCGGGCCTGGGGTCATATTTTTAACTATTATTTTAACCCAATGGAAGTTTGGCCATAAACATTTCAATCAGAATTATGCTAACGTTGATAGATTTCCATCAAGAAGGTAACTTACAGAATGTGCGGTTAAGTGATGAAATTCATTGTTCAAATTTCCCTAGAACACAATTGGTTTCTAGTTTTTACCATTTTATTATAGTTTATTGGAAGTATTTCTATTGCCATCAATTATTTTTCTGTTTAAATTTTACAATGAAATTTGATTCATTGTCAGGTTTTTGCCCAAGTCAATTTTACCAATTATAACATCGGCCTTTGTAAGTTTCATTTTGTGGCCATCATCGCTACCAAATCCAATTTGTCAAGATTCAATTCTCCAGGCAATTTTTAGTCAATAACTTTTTATCCTGTATGTAGTTTTAGCTGTTGTTAATCGTATTTTGTGTTAATTATTTCTATCAGTAATATTCGTTGTTATTTTGATAAAAGTCTTGGGCTCATTTCTTCACTTATCCTTGAAAAAAATGCTATGTATCTAAGCGATAGCAAAAGAGATAAAGTGTGGGAGTCAGACAATGACAAAAAGACACACAGGCAGAGGGAGATAGAGGCAGATTGAGAAAGAAGCTGCAGCTGCCTTGGGATAGTGTTTGCTAAGTGCTCTGAGGCGTCCGAATGTCTTGGGGGTCAAATGGCAAGATTAAAACAATATGGCCCTGGGGGGTGTGGCTCAGTGGTTAGAGTGTCGGCCTTGGGTTCAATTCCTGGTCAAGGACATGTACCTGGGTTGCAGGTTCCAACCCCGGCCCCGGTTGTGCAACCAATTGGTGTGTCTCTCTCACATTGATGTTTCTCTCATTGATGGCTCTTTCTCTCCCCCCTCCTTCCTCCTTCCCTTCCACTTTCTCTAAAAATCAATGGAAAAAATATCCTCAGGAGAGGACTGACAACAACAACAAAAACCAGTATAGAGGTTGCAATATCGTTGGTGATCATGGGAGAGGCAAATAGTTTCAGGACTTTAAATCCTAGGGAGTTGAACACAGTTGTCATCTTGCCACCCCTAGCACCTCCCCTTTTTATGGCTCTTTTTATTTACTTTCTATCCCTGCCTAGTCAGCAACTGACACTCAGCCCTCCACTCTTCTTGAACTTCGGACTAACCACTGCCCCCCGCAAACCTCTCTTCCTCCCCTTGCACTGACCATAAAGTACCTTTAGCAAGGGTGACCTCTCTCTTGGTTTTATCAGTGAGTGTTCAATAATTGTCTGTTAACTGGTTTATCTTAAAGTAGCACCCTTATGATTTAAACCCCCATAAGCTAGGCCACTGCTAACAAATCAAAACACATCTAACCCAACCTACCACTTCCTGGGGGGTAAGTGGGTGGATGGAGCCAATTCTGAACTGTTTGGAGGCCTCTCAATCTGTCTACAGAATTGAAGCTCAGAAAGCTTTATTTTTTGCCAACGTTCCCTAGCAAATTCCTGCTGCACACCCACACACTTAGCCAGCAAGAGAAAAGGAAGGGCTGCTGCAAGAATTATTCCCTCTGGGACCGATGATCACAGGAGCAGCACTCCCTAAGCTTCCCATCCAGCCTGGGCTCCCAGTTCTTCTAGTCCAGCCTCACAGCTTTCACAGGCTGAACCCAAGGAGGGAGGCTCTGAGAGAAGGTGCAGGGAAGGGCTAAGAATAGGACCCCTCCTGGGGGAGTGAGGCCCTGTAGGTGTGACCTTGTATAGGCCAGGAAGAGGGACACAGAAACCCAGCCAACTGAGAGAGAGACAAATAGATGAAGAGGGCACTAAAGGCTAAAATTTTTCCTAGTATCTTAAATGGCTTGGAATGGCAGCACCCGGAATGTAAACTGTGGGAGTATAGTGTTAAAAGCGGAGCATTAGCAAAAAGAAAATCAGAGGAGTAAGAGAAGGATTCTGGCCTTCAAGAGAATAGGAGAAAAGAGAAAGGAAAGCTAGACTCAATGTTTCTCAAACTTGGAAGACAGAGGGCTGCTGGCCACTGAGAGGTAGTTCAGTTGGTTAGAGCATTGCCCTGATATTCCAAGGTTTGGGGTTTAATCCCTGGTCAGGGCACATACAAGAATCAACCAATGAATGCATAAATAAGTGGAACAACAAATCGGTGTTTCTCTCTCTCCTTTCTTCTCTCTCTCTAAAATCAATTAAAAAACAGAAATAACAACCAAAAAAACAGAGACTGAGTTATCAGTCTGGGGTGGGTTCTGGGGATCCAGATTTTTTAAAAGCTCCCCAGGGGATTCTAATGTGCAGCCAGTTCATACCAATTGGGCTAGATTGAAGATGGAAAAGGAAATACGATCTCCCTGTGTGTTCTGTGGCCCAGCAATGCAAGAGAGAAGGACCTTGGGCCTGACCCCTCTCTAGTGTCTTGTAGCAGGCTGTGTGGCCCAGTGGAAAGAACTGAGCATGTTTATCTTGAGGTCTGAGTTCTGATTTTGAATTAACTACTAGCCACCATGTGACTCTGGACAATGAAGATGCTGGCCAGAGGAGACCTGAATTCGCTAATTCACTGTTTGCCGGGCTGGTCACTTTCTCTCCCTGCCTTCAGTTCCCTCATGTAATCTCCAGCTCTAAAACATTCCAAATCTGTACTTTCATTAAAATAGCCCAGTCACTTCTAGTTGAACAGATTTTTTCCCCATGAATTATTCAAACTTGGGAGTTGAATGTTGAAAATAACATGCTCGCGTTGTCCTCATTAGGAAGCTTTTAGCTGTGAATCTCTTGTCTTCCACTAACTTTACAAAGCCTGGTCTCTGCAGAGTTTTGGGGATGAACACAGTCAATTATTTACAAAGTCTCTTGAGAATACCTCGTGGAAATAAAGGAAGTAATAAACACCCACACGATAAACAGAGATAGTGTAATAAAGGAAGCAATAGAGAGCAGCCGTGGACTCTCCGAAGAGCTCCACAGCCCTCAGCAAGTCTCAGCCTTGCCAGGCTTCAGTTTCAGTCTTATTCATGAACATATATTTCATGCCTACCTGGTAGATAGGGAATTGGTAGATGTTAGATGGGCCAGGTTCAGAAGCCCAGGTACAGAAACTCGGGTACAGAAGCTCACCAGGGCAGGAAGCCCAGGATGCCCAGCAAAGGGCAAAACCGGGAAAACAAGAACCTTGTCCTCAGGGTAACCTATCCCGGTCTAGCATATCTCTGGTCTTGCGGTTTAGATCCCCTGAGCGTTTCCTCCCTAAAGATAACATCTAGGCCTCAGTTGTATTTCAGCTCCAGGCCAAGAAATGCAGCAAAACCAGATAAGTGGCATCTTGGCTGCCTCATTACCGGCTACATTGACTAATGACCCCCTGCCCTGGCACTGACCAATCAGTGGAGGCTGTGACCCTGAAAGAGCACACATGGAAACCTGATGGATATTCTATTGAGACCCTCCCCTAAGATTTCCACCTCTAATAAAGATAAATACACTCAGATAAACCCAGTTCATGCCCCCCACAAGGGGAGCACACCAGAGCCATCTCCTTCCCCCTTCCCTCCGAGGAGACCCCACGAGACTTGCAACCAGGAGAGCAAGGGGCAGCAGCAGCTCATCCTGGGCTTATCTCCTGAACCTGTCTCCAAGGTCCCCTTTTCTCTGACTCCTCCGTGAGCCAGAGCAGCCCAGCCTAGGCTCTCCTGTTGCTGCTTCTATGCTCTTGCTTGTTTCACTGTCCCAGGTATATTTTTGCTGCCACCATGAACCCAGTACCCTTTGGCTCAATGTTGTGTAGCCCTTCCCTTTGGATATCCCCACCCCATCCCCATTTCCTTAAATAAATCCCATTTTTCTTTATCCGTCGTCTGAAATGGCTATTAGCCTGCCCAAGTACCACTGCCAGAGACACAGACATTCAGAGAGCTTAGGTAATGTGCCTGCATTGCCCAGCTAATGAGAGATGGAGCAGGGTTTAGACTCAGCTGTTTTTGCTCTGTCGCATACCACAGGCTTTCCTGCTGCAGGGGCAAAGTCAGAATGATGTCAAGGAAACACTTCCTCCCACGGACTGCTCTGCCACTTCCAAACAGCACTGACACTTGGGTGTTTGCACCCAAGAGGGAGGCTTTGGCGCCAGGCCCCCTTGTTTATAGATCTGGAATCCCACACACATGAAAAGTGAACTCAGAGCCAGGAGGGAGGGCGGAGGGCTCGGCCAAGCTTGGATGGCACAACTGTCAACACAGCATTCTGCAGGGAAAGGCAAAAACATTTCAAAATACAATCACAGCCATTTTCTTCTTGCTAGAGCCAGACGCTTTTGACCCTCTATTTGAATAGGCTTTTATTTTGCTTCAAAACAAAAACAAAACAAAACAAAAAACCTGTTCTATTTGTAGCTTTCTTAATGACAAGGTTGCAATGTTCACAGGGATGACTGCTCTGCCACTTCCAAACAGCACTGACACTTGGGTGTTTGGAGGAAAGCTCTCCATGACACAGGCGGGTCTTACCAGTCTTAACATCCGGTAATTCACAGGCAGCAGGGACACTCAGAGAGAAAACAGATCTCTTACTCAAATCTATTAGAAGGAAGTGAGAGTTATCAGCTGCCATTTACCAAGGGTCCTTTAAGAACCATCTAGGTTTATGTAAGCAGTCTTCAAATTATTTGCAGCATCAGAAAGTCAAGCTCAGTTTCAGAGGATGCTGGAAACTGAACCAGGTGACTTCTTGGAGAATTGAAGCCAGAAGCATGATTTTCTATGCTGGGAAGGAACCCACCCAAGAGCCAATGGGCGACTACAAGGTTTGAGGGAGAGGGTAGTGGCAGTGGTCTAGTCCAGTGCTTCTCAAGCTTTCCTATGTTTATGGCTCACCTTCAGATTCTGCTAAATGCAGATCCTGATTCAGTAGGTCTGGAGTGGACCCGAGACTCAGCATTTCTAACAGGCTCCCAGGTAATGCCACTGTTGCTGGTCCACAGACCACAATCCAAGTAGCAAGAGTCTGGAGAACTTTCCACTGTAGAGTCTTGAGTAGTCTAAAGGGAATTAATTTCCAGATTCTCAAAGCTCATTTTTACTCTTTTCTAAAATCTACCTAAGAAAGAGTGAGGTCAAAGTTGTAAGTTCCCCTTTTACAATGGACTTCATCCCACTTTACTGAACAAAGGCCCTCCTCTTTCCATCTCAAATCTTACACCTCCAGGTTCCCACGCAAAGCAACCATTCAAAATACTGGTGTTATTGTTGAGAAAGTGACTAACGCTAATAACTGGTTACAAATATTTCCGCAAGTCAAATGATATTGATTCATTGCTCTCAACTAAGTTGAAGGAGATGTGAATGATGCACTGACAGTTATTTAAAAATAATTTTGACAAAAAAATTAAAAGAACTCAAAGAATTAATGACATTTTTATGACAAAACTTCCAATCCCACTGCTTACATATGAACAAAATTTCTCAGCATTTATGTCTATAAAAAAATAAAACACAAGGTGAGTATTGATGCTGAATCAATACGTATTTATTGACTCAGCATCAATACTATTGACAATTTAGCAATAAGTAATAGTCAACATGAATATGCTACTCAAGTGTTTTTAAAAAGTAGAGCAAAGAAAAGAAAAAAATCTATCCATCACATGAAGAGATCCACTTCCAACAAAAATTTTGTTTAATAATAATAATTATCAGAACATATATTTGTATTATTTTCATCAATTGTATACCAATAATTATTGTATTAAGAAATGTTTTGCCTGGCTGGGCTTGGCTCAGAGGCTGAGCATCGACCTAGAATCCAGGAGATCATGGTTCGATTCCAGATCAAGGCACATGCCCAGGTTGCGGGCTCACTCAATCCTCAATTGGGGGTGTGCAGGAGGCAGCCAATCAGAGATGACTCTCTCACCATTGATGTTTCAACTCTCTCTCTCCCTCTCTCTTCCTCTCTTTGAAAACAATAAAGATATACTTTAAAAAAAATTTTTTTTTAAGTTTTAAAAAAAGAAATGTTTTAACACTTAATGAATTATGTACTCTAAGTTTATATACATTTTTTTTTGTTATAGAAAAATACAGCACAGTATGTTCCATATGGATAAAGTTCTGTAAGGTAAAGGAATGGAAACATAAATAAAGAGAAGAAAGAATGATTCAACATTTAAGAAAAGCTTTCTACTATTTCTAAAAGGATGGCAGTATCAAATCACTATGGTATTGTAGAGGAGGAAATTTTTTCCTATACCATTCTAGGTTCTTTTGGCTGGTCTAATAATTAAATTGACATAAGACAGATTAACAGGAGAAAAACTAATTTTGGACATATCAGAGCCTCACATAGACATGAGAGTCTCCCCAATTGTCAAGCAATTGACCTGGATAGGTCAGCCTGAGCTAAGGAGAAGGGGGAAGGGGCCTGGAATTTACAGTGGGAATTGGGTGGGACATTAAGTCATAAGAGAGTCTCCCTAGGAGAGCAAGAGCAGGTTGTCAATAAATACTCACCAATTTAATGATATCAAGTTCCACCACATGAGCGATTCATGGTGAGACTAAAATACAAAAAATACATTGTAGATAGATAAACTTCCCCCAACCTGATTTCCAATATTTCCTATCATTTATTTGAGTTCCCACAACCTGTCTCTGCTTCCCTCTACTCTTATATATTTTCACCAACTTTTAGCAAAAATTTTCATTTGGTTGGGCATTCGCCCTGCAGGGTTTTTAATTTTGTTTTTATAGGGTTCTGAAATCCACTTTGTGAATTAACTCAATTAGTCCTCATAACAATCCTAGCAGGTAGGTACTATTATCATACCCATTTTGGAGATGAGAAAAATGAGGGTCAGAGAAGTGGAATAACTTGCCCGAGCTCACGCAGCCAGTGAGTGGTGGTGTCTAGATTTGAATCCAAGCAACCTGGCTCCAGAGTCTGTTCTCACAATGTCAGAGGCTTCACTTCGAAAGCTTAGAGCCTCCTTTGACATTCACATACCCAAGGTGTGGACCTCACAGACTTGTTCTTCGGGGGGCCGTGGGGCCACAGGCACCATGATGCACCCTGTGGCTCACCACTGCCTCTGTCTGTAACCAGCCAGGCATGGTTCACACTCAGCTTCACACTGAGCGATGCAAAATCCTGAAAACCAGTTGTCACAATGATTATCATCACGATTAAAAACTATCACGGACCTCTAAGAAATGTTTCAGTAAGCCTTTACACCAATATCCCCAATGAGATAAAGGAGGCACTTTAAAAATAAGGCCCAGCCCAGCTGGGCGTGGCTCAGCGGTTGAGCATCGACCTAGGATCCAGGTGATCGGGGTTCGATTCCCGGTCAGGGCACATGCCCGGGTGTGCGGGCTCGATCAGTGACTCTCTCATCATTGATGTTTCTGTCTCTCTCTCCCTGTCCTTTCCTCTCTCTGAAATCAATAAAGATATATTTAAAAAAATAAAAATAAAAAATAAAAATGAGGCCCATGATAAGGTGTTAGATAAAGAACAAACCATTAAAAAAAAATAAAGGTCAAAAGAACTGAGAGTGGATTTGATTTCACTCTGAGGCTAACAACTTACAAATAGCAGTTGAAAAGTGATTTCAGCCACAATATATTATCCAAAAAGTGTATATATATATACACACACACATATATATATTATCCAAATGAACTCATCACTAAGCTAATGAACAATGACTAAAATACCCTGGATCAGGTGCATTGAAATGAGTCACCCTAGGAGAACTGTCAGAGCTCCCCCACATAGCCTTGGAGCAACCAGAGTGGGCCACTGGCCTCTTCGAGGCAGCACATTTCCTTGCTACACCTGCCACACCCAGGAGGGCAGACAGCCATGGTTCAGAGTTCATGGCCATGACTGTGTCTGGAAGACTAGTCTCTCAAACGAGACTATTTTTGTCTTCCTGCCCTTCATTCTCTACCTTTTCCTTCATGAGAATAAAAGCATTGACTTTGTGGAGAGGGTTTTAACCTCTTGGTACTCAAAGTATGGTCAGTGGACCAGCAGCATCCGCATCACCTGGCACTTATTAGAAATGTAGTCTCGGGCCCCGCCCAGAGCTGTTGAATCAGAATCTGCATTTTAACAGGATCCCAGGTAATTCGTATGCTCATTAAAGTTTGAGAAGCACTGTTTTAATCTTTCTGAACCTCACACTTATCTTGCAAGGTTACTGTGAGAATTAAATGTATTCAAAGTGCCTGGCAAGTACTAGGTGCTAAATATGCTATCATCTTCCTTCACCCAGCACCTGGCACTGCCGAGCTTCTGTGCCCAGTCTCCATCTGCCTCAGCCGTTCTCCCTGGCCTGGGCTTCTGAATGCCAACCTTAACTTGCTTACTCACACCCTGCCCTTTGGCTGATGCCCTAGGCTGACCTTGGCTCTCTCCTTGGAGTCCCTAGCAGGCTGGCTGGGGCCTGTTGCTATACTTCTCAGCACTCCCGCTGACCTAGACTGTCCCCAGGCCCCACCTCTCTTGGCCTGTCCATTCTTGTGGACACCGAAAACCCTACAGCAGCACTTATTTTAGTCATGTTGCCATTGCTCAAAATGGCCTTGGAACTGCTCTTGGAATTTGCCTTCACGGCTTCGCATAGTGCTGGCCCTGCGTCGGCACCCAACTAAGTATTCCTTGGGAGAATGAACGAAGGACAAAGATTTGCTTCATAATGAGCCATGACAGTAAGGTTTATATCTCCAGTCTCTTTGCTTTTCCTTTATCTCTCTTTTCTTTGCCACCCAAAAAGTGTGATACAGAGGCTGAGATTTAATGTCACCCAAGAAGAAAAGACCAAGGAAAATGCCTGACATTTTAGGGTTCTAGACCTCAGGACTCTATGCAAAGCAGCCCTTGAGACTGTGCATAGTCCAGCCCGCTCTCTATGATTCCACCCTGAGGCTTAAGGCCAAACTGCCAGAAGATAATAAAGCATTCTGGTCCTGGCCTGGTCTTTTATATACTTAGGTCACTGTCCAAATCTCCTTCACGAGCCATTACGCTCATCTCCCAGCTACTGCAAGTGCTCTGGCTAAAAGCTTCCACCCGTGACCCTCTTTGGACAATTGCTGTTGGATGAGCAGTCTAGAAATTTTGGGGATGTGTCACTCCTGCTCTTACCCCAAGCAGCCAATGACTGATGAATACAGGTGCACAAAAGCCCAGTCCCCTTGCCTCAAGGTGGGACAACTCTGTAGTGCAATTTATAGTCCAGAGTCCCCATGAATTGGGCCAAGGTTAGAATCTACCTAAGCCCGCACCCGTGCTCTACTCATTCACTGGCCTACCCTACTTCCCTCATTTCCTACTGTTTTGTTTCCAGGGCTTCCTTCAATAAATTGTGTGCACCTGAAACACTGTCTCAGGGAACTTGACCTAAGACAGTGCTCTTGGGATTTAGTGGATAAGTAGCAGGACAAGGTTCCTGTGTTCAGGATCTCAAGTGCTCACCAAACATCATCTCAACACCAGCCCAACATGACTTACACTGGGGTATTTGACCCACTTCCATCAGCCCACAGGGACCCGAGAGCCAAGTCCAAGGGAGAGGGATGAGGGTCTGAAACTGCGCCACTAAAATGGTAGCTACTAGCTACAGGTGGCTGCTAAGCACTTGAAATATGACTAATGCAACCAAAAAAGTGAATAGGTAATTTCACTTAATTTTAACTTAAAAAATGGGTACTCAACTTAGTTACTGGAAAACTATTAAGCATGTTTGAAACAATTTGGGTGTGTAAATCTACTTCCTTTTCATTGTAAATTTTATGAAATCTAAATACAGGTCAAGAATAATATAATATTCAATATTATATTAATTTCAGGTGTACAACATAGTGATTCTACATTTATATACTGTACCTTATGATGTGATTGCCATGATGTGTCTAGTAACCATCTATCACTGTACAAAGTTACTATGATATTAATGACCATATTCCCTGTGCTGTATATTAAAAACAACACACATTTTTATATCACAGTTTCTGTAGATCAAAAGTCCAGGCACAGCTCAGCTGTGCTCTCTGCTCAGGGCCTCACAAGGCTGTGGTCTCATCAGAGGCCTGACTGGGGAAAGATCTGCTTCTAAGCTCCTCCGGGTTGTTGACAGAATTCATCTCCTTGCAGTTGTAGAACTGAGGGCCTGTTTTCTTGCTGGCTGTCAGGAGGGGTTGCCCTAAGCCAATACAGGCCACCCAAAATTCCTTGCCATGTGGCCCCCTCCATTGGCCCTCTCATGGCATGGCAGCTTATTAGTTCAAGGCAGTAATGGAAAGAGAGTCTTCGGCATATATCTTGCATGCTAGCAAGACTATATATGTATTTAATAACATAATCATGGGAATTATATAGCCCATTGCCCTGATGTAATAGCCATATTCTATTAGTTAGGAGCAAGTCCCACCTACACTCAAAGAGGAGATTATGCAAGGCATAAAAACAGGGCCAGACTAGGCTCTGTCCACCACAGTGGTTATGGAGGGAGAATGTTTAATAGACAGCCTGATGATAAAAGATGCAAAAGCCTTGAGGTGTAGGAGAAAATTGCTTCATTCCTAACTCTTCCATTCATACCAACCTGTTCTAAAGCAAGCAAGCAAAGTCCATCCTGTACATACCCTGAATGATTTTCAGCTATTGCTTTGCTTTCTGATCTGTCATATTTGTGTGCATTTTGACAACACAGTCTTACCTTTCTCTAGACCCTGGTTCAGTCTTGGGCTTTTCCTGGCTTGTTGTATAGCCTTGCCCTATCTCTGCATTCCTACAGCTACTGATTTCAGCCCCACACTGATAACCTTGTTTCAGCTAATTCCCTGCCTCAGTTTTCATATATTTGATCATAACTGTCACATGGAAAAAGGCTAAAGCTTATGGGTCAAACATAACATTATCATTATTAAACAAGCAAATCTTTGTTAAGTTTCTTTAGATTAAAAAAACTACTTAAGATTAATTGCACTTTGCCTTGATAAATTTGACATCATTTAGATTTTTTTTAGTTTTGTGATTTTTTTTTAAACCTATAGGATACCAGCTTTAGGGAGTTTGGCTGGCATTACTAAAAATCACATTTTGCTGAAAGCTCATTGGATTTTGAGCTCACATTTTATATAAAATGTGGGGACTTTGATGCTAAATTTATTACCTCTCTAAGATCTTAAAGTGTCATTATACTTTATTTCACTGATGGAAACAGTTAATAGCAAACATTAGGAAATGAAATTTGAGAACTGAACATCATTTCAGAAAATGACTAAGCAGAGATGGCAAAAATTTAGCACACATGCCTCAACTCTTCCAACCTATGCCCATGACCGACATAATCAATCAATCACTATGTTCTGCTGAGTCTGAACAGAGCCTCAGAATTCTTCTCAACTCTAGGAAACTACTACTGACTTAGGGCTCTTCAGTTACAAGTAATAGGAACCAAATTGAGCCACCTTGAGCAAATAAGGAATTTCATAAAAACATACAGAGTGTCCCAAAAAAGTCAAGCACAAGAATGCAGCTAGGCCTCAGGCACCAGGAACCAGAAAGTCAAGAGGACTCAGTCCCTTATCTCAGAATGTTTCTGCCTGCTTGTTTCCCTTTTTCTCTCTGTGGTCAGGCTTTCTCTGTCTCCAATTTGTTTGAGGTCATATGGCCACTCATAGCGCTCATGTTTCCTTACTCCAGAGACAGTCTTCTATAGAGACTATATCTGAATCTCAGCATAAGATTTCTGAGGGAGAGGCTCTGAGTGATTGTGTTTGGGTCAGGTGACCACTCCTGGCCCAGTCAGTCATAATCAAGAAAGAAGTGACAGCATTCGAAAGAGCTACCTAGTGCTCACTTTTGGTGGTAACAGAAATGCACTAAATTTGCACCCTCCATTAGAATGGCCATTCACCACATGTCAGCTATTGAACACTTAAAATGTGTCTAAGAAGCTGAATTTTTCATCTT